ACATATGAAGTCAACGAAGTTCAGTAGTAATGAGAGCTTTTTCGATGATCAAAAAGCAATTGGAAGATTGCTTCATTTCAAGCATTCTGGTATGCGCCAAGCGTTCAACTGAATCCAAAAAACCTTCGAAGGGTCTGCATGAGCCTTTCAGCCACTTCCCTTTTTGAAGGTCTTCAGGCAGTCTTCGTATCATACAGTCGATCTTAAACCAACAGAAGGGTAATAGAGGTGAACAGCATGGTCCTGTCATCTTAAGGTGATACCAGTGTTTATCAAGACTCATCTTAGGGTAAGAACAAAAAACGAAGGGCAATGTTCAATCTTGGACCAGCGGAAAGGTAGTCACTGAACTCGACATCTCATACTTTACTCGAAACATCTGAAAGGGCATGCATGAATCTTTTTTTTTCGACCGAGATAGGCGAGATGAGCAAGAGAAAAAAATTGTCCATAAAAAAGACACTGGATTCAGGTTGGCTGCAACTGGGCTGTTATCAGATATGTCACTTCAGACAGGTTCTCAATTCTCTACTGGCTAGGATGAAGGAACATCTGAGCCGGTGAAGTCATGCATAAAGGCATCTTGGCGCTTCTAGTCGCCAAGATGCCTTTATGCATCTTGGCGATCAGAGGCGCCTAATCATAGGCATCCTCTCGTATTCGCGAAGTGGCCGTTTCGATTATGACTTAGCAATATCACATGACGTTTTCTATGCCATCGATTTACAATTATTCAGTGGATCGTAGTTGACTTTGGACTTTGGAGGTGGTTGGGCACTCATCAGAACAAGCGGAAATTCCTTTCCTAAAGTGAAGTGCTCTAGAAGCAAGCAAATTTCGAATGAGCATCTCACTTGAATTCCACTCATAAAATCACAAACTACCATGAGGAGCCAGCCCATCCAGTGGAATGCGTTATCGGCGAATGTCAGTTTTCAGATTTTCTGTAGATCTCAGCGGCAAGCGATGAATCCACGGTGTCTGAGGTGGGATAGATCCAGGGGGAAGCGCCACTTGCCACTATTCTATAATCATGACTTTGTGAGTGTTTCTAGGGTTTACTAGTTGCTAGGGTAATGAACCTCAACTCCAGGCGTGTTCACGATAAATTCCAGAGGCAATCCCGAGTTACTGAATCTCGGGTTATACAGAGCTCTTAAGAGTTTAAGGCAATCAGTACCTTCTAAACCTGAACCGGGGTTTTTTGGAACCAACTCATTTGCGCAGTTCCAAATTTTTTTATGATTTCCTCAATGAAGGTTATGGCTCATGAGAGGTATTCGATAGAATTCAAGGACCCAGGGCAGTATGTGAACGGCCCAGAGGCATTCATTCAAAGAAAACTAGTCAGAACTAATGTTTTTCTCAATATTTCCTTCGCTTTATTTCCATGGATATCGATTGCTTACGTTCAGATACTGTAGTAGATCTTTACGCTAAACTCTAACCATCGGGGAATCGTTGGCATGTTGGGCAAGAGGCTCAGATAATCCTGAAACGTTTAATTATACCGTAATTTTTTGAGAGAGCATTGTATACATGGAATGTTGTGAAAACACAAATAGAAAGACTATAAATGATCCAAAAATGTATAAATACGATCAAATGGAACCATTAGAGAACAAATTTCACAATACAGAAAGTAACAACGAACAATAAATTGCCGAGTGTAGTAGTACTCGCCGTGTTAAGTTCTTCGAAAAGTTGCTCAATATGAAGTCGACTGATGTTCCTGAAAGGGGGCTAAAAAAAATTGAAAATTCCAGGAATCTGAGTGATAATAATTGGTTCAACTGAGAGGAATAGCATGGCATCCGCTTCCATCAAGGAAAAACTTCTTTGTAAGAGTAAACTACGTCAGGAAAGGATTAGTGTATGAACAACCGTGAGAAGAGCACGGGTGGCGTAGGGAGGCTGGTCGTTGCAGGAATCCTATGTATGTCATCGAAAGTGTGTGTTACTATCGATATTCTGTCACGCCTATCACGTCAACCCCCTAAACGCCGTTGGTAGGGATCAGAGTCGACCGCAAGTCATGGCAAGACAAAAAGGTCACATACAGATTGAAAACAACTCGGACGTTTCCTTCCTCACCTTTTTTGGAATTTTTGTATAATTCACGGCTACAATTTTTTTGGAACGGTAAAAGTGTAGCCGTGAATTATACAAATATTAAAAACACTTAGCGGTGTACTGCTACATTTAATTTTTAATCCATTTATTTCCATTTAATTATTGATTGATATTTCTCAAATGAGTCACTGATTGCTGATAGTTACTGATAATCTTGCCACCAAAGAAAATAGACAAAAAGCTACGGGAACAAAATCACAAGGGACCGAGGGTTGTGGGTCAGTCAATTATAAAAAATAATATTACATAGTATTTGCCTGTAAGAAGTTACTATACCGAATATTGATCACTGCAGGGTTCAATCAAAAGAAAGTGAAGCACCTGGAGAGATCGATAGCTCGGGAATAAGCCGTGCATTTGGGATTTAGCCAGGGTCGAAGTTGATCTCATTTTTACAAAAGCGTGGAAGTTTTCTCTCGCTAACAACAATGAGCTGGGTTGAAAACCCCGCAGAGTGCCAAATTTTCTAAATTTCTCTCAGAATATAATGATGACGTCACTGACTTGAATTCTGCCAGTTCTTCTGGCCATGATTCTTCCAACTTGCGCAGATTGTAATTACAGCTTGGTGCTGAGCATATCCATTGCTCTATACCGTTATAGGAACGATAGTAACCAGGCTGCAAATAAAGAATTAAACATACAACAAAAGAAGAATGTAATCAGAAGTAGAGTAAACAAAAAACAAAAACTAAGGAATACGGATGTGATTTAGCGTTAATTGCTTACAGCCATCTGTCGGTCGGCCTTGCTCTGATCAATCGTCAGGCAGCCTCTGAAATATTGAATTGCCTTACGGTTCAAGTACCTCGAGTTTTGCAAAAGTTTGTGAAGAGTAGGGGTGTGACAATAGGTTCGACTACAGCCAACGAAAAACGGCGCAGTTTTGTACATAGTACAGTCTTCAGAAGCACAAATCTTCTCAATAATTATATATGTAGGATAAAGTATTCTGAGAATCATCGGATACAAGCTGTGCTAGCCGTTTTCCGATTCCAAACCTGTGGAAATCTTCTCAACAGTGTGGCTAGAAATCGGACCTATTGTCGCCTTGCATGAGTCGTACCTGTACACATCACCTTGCGGCAATGCCGATATCACACAAAATTGTCCTGTACAAAGCTTCCGTATAGGGATATATGGTAAATTTTTGGATAGAAAATCTGCATGGCATTCGACCAGCCCCTCTGTTGGGTATTCAGCAGCAGTGTCGTCAGCCTGAAAACAAGCTCTCCTTTAGACACTCAGGGGTTAACTTGGTTAGTAGTCCTCTAGCTACCAGACGTGATCCCTAGATGCTTCAGTGCAGGTGAGAATGGAAAATTACATCAATAATAAAAAGCTGAAAAATCAAAAGAATCATAACAAAAGTCTAAAATGTAATTATAGAAAAAAGATTTATTTGAAAAAGGAGCTATAGGCCTCAAGCAGCACCACTTATAGAAGGACACCAAACAAACCGTTGAACCGTAACACATCGTCTCGTCCTGTTGCCCTCCATATTCCATTCTGACGCAGGATTCTGGATAGAAGAGGAATGGCACCCGACTGGAGAACATATCAAAATCGTTGCTATTTGAGCATTCATTCACGGAGGAATAGCCTTTGGTACCATTGTCGTGTGTGAACTGCAAGAATGATTCCTATTAGCTTGAGATCTAATTTTTTTCTGGTTATTTACAGTTTGTGGTTCAATAATTCAGGAGGGGCTTACGGTACACTCCAGAAAGTATTAAAAGTATTCCTCGAATGCAGAAAGGCGAAAGAGTCAAGCAGTGACGACTTTCGCAGTTTTGGCAGTTTTGCTATGACAGTCTTTACCTTACTCCTCCTGTAGACACAATAGTTCCCCGCACAAGGAGGTGTCCATCGTGGTGGCGGATCTATTCCGTTGACAATTTGCCGTTTACAGACCTGCCATTGCAGTTGAGTTGGTGGTTCTTTCATCAGAGCATGTGGATCGCGATTGCAATGGTCTGTGCTGAAACGAGTAATTTCCACCTCCTTGCAAAATGAGAAAGGCGATCTCCCTCCTTACTTACTCGCATATACACAGTAGCTGACCGTTTTGATTACTGCGACAGCCTAGGGTAGCTGGAGGAGCGCCACTGAGGCAACCCTAAAATATATAGTTCGAATAGGATTTTCTTAACGATTGTACCATCGACTTGTTCTTAAATTGAATTTCCCAATAGTTTAGGCTGAATCTTATTGTGCGATAATATTTAGGCTTGAGCGGTCTCCTGGAATCGTGAAGACATTGAAGGCTAGTAGGACTCGGGTCAAATGGGATCTGATTTCTATACTACTACAGAGCTGCTCCAGCTGATACTTCCATCAAACGAATTTCTAGATGATTCTTGAACGTCGGCAGTAACCTTTTCATAATAAAAAAAGATAATGTTTTTGGCGTCAGTAAATCCCGTCTAAGGGATGCGCCCCCGCTCTCGACTTCCATTCAGTATCATAGTGGCCTAATGAGTGCGTATGTGGCTTATATAATGACTTGCGGTGGCTAGCCGATGTACAAGTCAGTGCTTTTATCTTCCCAGACGAGTCTGGTACCAATTCACCGACCCCGGAGCGATGGAAGGCTTGGCTGGCCTAAGCGAACATCGAGCCGGGATTCGAACCCCTGACCGAGCGTATGATATAGAGCGCCACTTGCCACTACACTACCTCCATAATATATGTCGAAATCCATGAAAAATAAAATGAGAAAAAGACGACAGATGAAAGAAACGTTTGAGGCAAGCTTCAGGCAGAAAAAAACGAAGTCAGTAATCAATCAAAAAGGAGGTTGGCCTTCAACCAAACTGTGAAATGAACACATAATCAGTGGTTGGGATCTAGCTGACTGTTGCCGAAATATTGGCACCTACTTCATCGAGTCTATTCGATGAGTCACGTTCCCATGACGTTTTCTGGTGGTTACCAGTAGATTATGCAAACATCATTCAGGTATTCTTAAAAAGCCAATTCCCATACATTCGAAGATGAAACACAGCTATCAAAGCCGGTGAAAATCGTTACTAGGCACACAATTCGAAATGTTCAGTCAACTAAAGAAGGACAAACCCTCAGGGCCTTGATTAATCCCATCTGAGGAGTCCCACCTATTTGATTTCCATTCAGAATTTTAATGGTGTGTCAAATGCGTATGTGGCCTAAACAATAACTCGCGGTGGTCAGCCGATGTACAAATCAGTGCCCTTATCCTCTCAGACGAATCTGGCACCAATTAACCGACCCCGGAGTATGGAGGGCTTGGTTGGCCGAGGCGGGTATTGAGCCGGGGTTCAAACCCGTGACAGTGAGTATGGGATAGTGCGCCACTTGCCATTTAATCACCTCCACCCCAATGACTAAATAATTTAGAAAAATTTTATGAAAAAGGAAATACGAAATTATTATAATACTAGCGCACCACTGCGATTTCAAAGCGAAGGTGAATTTCTAACAATATTCAATCCTAAACAGCTTTACGGCTTACCTTTCTATTGAAAACTCGTTGTGGTTGTTCATAATAATATTCTGTATAGAAGCATAATGTTCCTGAACAATCTTCCCAGCAACTGAAAAAGCCGTTACAATCATGGAGACAATACTTGGATTGCGATAAAACTCTTGCCTCGAAATAATAAATAATAACTGTTATATATCTTAGATCACTTGAAGAATTCTGAGCATCCAGGGTTGTCTGCTGGTAACCTTCTTCATATTCATTCCAAGAGTCAAATCACCTGCTCTGCACATTAGGAAGCCCTGATTATAGCTCATATAGTAGTAAGCGCCCTGCCTTGTTTGAACTGCCTTCATAAAGTGGATGCAGCAGTAACCTAGGCAAATTCGAAGGCGTGGGCATTGATTTTCAGTTCAATAAATGAATAATTTGAGTTGTTGTTCGAGGAAAATTCGCAATCAAGCCTCTAAGGGTGGGAAATGCCACGGTCCTGCCCATGTAATTACCTCGTTCGAAAACGCTTGAAACCTGTAGCTGCACTGTTTTCGTCAATTTACTGCCTATTTTACAACTCAGAAAATTGATAGTAACAAGAATGAAGAAGGCGATATATCCATAAGATTATTACTTACACTTCTTGTTCAGTTTCAAAATCGTAGTCACATTTTTTACATTGGATTAAAGCAGCATTGATGACATCAGGGGCGATGATGAACACGAAAAGTGGGGCCAATACAGCGACATGGGTCATCGCTGATACAGCTGTCCGACGGAGAGGTGCGAATTGGCGAGTTGGAGTAAGCCCCAATAAAGTTTNTTCTTGTTCAGTTTCAAAATCGTAGTCACATTTTTTACATTGGATTAAAGCAGCATTGATGACATCAGGGGCGATGATGAACAGGAAAAGTGGGGCCAACACAGCGGCAAGGGTCATCGCTGATACAGCTGTCCGACGGAGAGGTGCGAATTGGCGAGTTGGAGTAAGCCCCAATAAAGTTTCGAAAATTATTCATGCAAAGCCCGTTGTCGCCGTCACCGGCTGTTCAGCTGGAAATGTATTCGATTGAGATAGACTGTTATTGATTGCTCAATCCTATGTAGTAATGCTACTCTGTAGCAGAAGCGGGTGACAATGTTCACGCCTCCATAGCCACAATGGGGTGCCATTGTGAACTGCTCGTTTCTGAGGATCATGCTGAGCGCAAAAACTCGAATAAAGGGAACAGGCTTCCGTGACAGGCCAAACGTTGATTACCAGAAGGACCACGAGCAGTAGTAATATGGGGATTGGCTGTGAGCTAACAGATATGCTAAAGTTTGGATTAGCAAATGCTACGTAATAAGAAAACCCAGATCGATACTTGCCTAAGCCAATCAATTTTTACATCTCTCCAGCTTTTGGTTAACTGGTATCAGACCCGTCTGGGAGGATAAAAGCACTGAACTGACCACCGCAAGTCATTGTAGAGGTCACATATGCATTCCAAGTGCGACTGTGATTCTGAATGAAAGTCAAAAGCGGGTCGCATTCTAAATATGGGTTTAATTAACGCTAGAATTTTGTCCTTTTGACCTTTTGGACATAACTACAGAACAAGAGTCACCGATTTCAACTTCGAAGTCATTCTCTGCAAAGTCGTGGGGCATCAAAAAAACTTTTTCTGAACATTCCTGTCGCTCGATTATCAGTGCTGAAAGCATCAGTGGCCCCCTGGTTACAGTCGTTGTCGTTCTCAGTACTTCTTTGCGAATCGCATCCTATGTTTTGGTATACTACGTCGACAGCATTATCCCGGGAGAGCCTCAAGAGAGTTCCTGGCTATAACTTCAATGATATCTCCAAAAAGAGCCCTCTTCGTTGTACGAAGAAGACGTTCACAATAGTAAATCATAACGTACTGTCCTCTGGCAGAAGGAGTAACCATAATGCACAAATTCTCTAAATTTATTATTATTATTATTATTATTATTATTATTATTATTATTATTATTTATTGCACAAGCGATAGTCGTGTACCCAACGCAAAAAAAGCAAAAAATCTATCATCACAACCCTGCAATTGTTGTGCAACATTGTAAAGCAGCACAACGAAGAAACTAACCCATAACTAGTGGCTGATTCACGCGTCATTACCTTCCACAGCGGTAGAAAAAGGTTTCAATTTGACTTTTTCGTAAGGTACCACGACTACAGGCTCGTGACGTAATGGGTGCAAGTGTTATGGAATGCGAGAAGTTCAGAGTGCATGGGCAAAATGCATCTTCTTCGTCGAGAAAGGAGAATCGTCGTATTTGAAGAATGAAAGGTCTCATAGAAGAGGTTAAAAAGCTCTTTAGTGTGTAAGTCGGCTGAACCGTTGGGAGCCCTTATTATGGCCTGTCTTAACTGTTTTTTGACCCGACAACTTCCCTTAGGCTGTCCTTGGGGATCACAGATTCATCCCAGGGAAAGATCTCAGGAACCATTTTTTAAAGTGAACTGTGCCTTGAAGATGGTTTTCGATTATGCGCACGCCCAGTACCCTTTCTTCGACACTTCACTCGAATTTTCTGTTCTGCAAGGATCTCAAATAAACAAGGAAAGGGGTAGTTTGCACTTCCAAGCTGTTCCCATGACAAAATGATTTCGCAATGATCTAGCTACATGGGAAAGTAGTCGACAAAAACAATCATTCAAACAAATGAGCTGATGGGTTTGAATGATTGTCCCACTCAGGTAACTTCCTTTTCCCTCTTTTTCTCAAGTCCACTTAGTCACAGCTATGGACTTGACAGGAGAAAGAGGATTGAGATGAAGGTCCACCACGTTGGTCTCTTTCACAGGCTGCAAGGTCAGTTCGCACAGTCAATACACCTCACCTGGAAGTTTCCAGATCCACGTGGATGTGTCCTGAGGTCCGCTAGTCAGCAGGAGTTTTCCCTACGTGGAGGGTAACAGTAAGGGAAGACAGTTCTGATTGCATTATTTCAAGTTGTACTCCATTCCATATTTCGGACTTCACATTCCGACAGAGACATAGTCCTTGTTCGTCTCCTAAGTATCTTCTGACCCAGTGATTTTGTTGTGCCCTTGTTCATCCGTGAAGGTTTGTGGTGTGCTAGATGTCTTCTCGAACAAATGATTTAATGCAAAGACGAAGGGGTACTGACAGGGCACGGTTGATTGTATGCAATTGGTTCCAGTATCATTAAGATTACCAGATTCACCGTNCGATAGTCGTGTACCCAACACAAAAAAAAACAAAACTATCATCACAACCCTGCAATTGTTGTGCAACATTGTANATTGTATGCAATTGGTTCCAGTATCATTAAGATTACCAGATTCACCGTACCAACCCCTTGCTGACTACATTTCGAGTGAAACTGATTCCAGTGTTTTTTAGGCAAATTAGAATTATACTCATTACCGTCTCATTCACTTTTTGACGAGATCCATTTTATTTTCTTGTGGTGCGGTGCAATTCTCTCAATTCGGTAGTGTAGCCATGTCAATAGTGTACAGGGCTCGGCAAATAAATAAATAGTTGAATAAACAAAATTTGCTACATTAGTGTGACGAAGTGCAGCTGCATCTATCCAACATGTACCGCTCTTTTCTCGTTCGGGAACACCTTGATAGTGCTTCTCATCTTGTTCTGGGAAAGTTTCGCATACCCCGGGAAGTTGGGCGCTGGGCCATGCTGCTCCACAGAGTCCTCAAAGGGCTTATTTATAGGCCCTTTGGGATCTTGTAACTGAAATTCAATGAGCCAAGTGCAAACGTTAGCAGGTGCTCTTTAGAATCTCCCATCTCCTCCGCAGACACCAAGCTTCTTCGCTTTTCCCATCGCTGTTCATTGTTATCATGGATGCCATTTCACGAGATTTCCAGAAGCCATACCATAAATGCTCACTTACGCCGCTTAGGTTGTACTCACGAGCGGAGACAAGATTATAGCAATGGGTTCGTGCCTGACCTGACTCCATGACAATGTTCAGGCTTTGTCTGAAGGTTGGAAAGCACATGCAACCCATAATGGCCGAGTCAACTGAACCAGGCTCTGTAGAGATTAACGCCACTGGGCTTCCACGTACACTCTTCTTGATCGTTGTAGGTGGCTCTGCAGCTCATTCGTGTGACATGAAGGTACCAGAGCCAATCTAATTACAGTTCTTGGAACCTTTCTAGAGCTATTAGCAACTTGAGTTGTGGAGTGCCGACGTGGAGCCGGAGGGACCGAAGACCTCTTCAAAATGGCTGATAAAAAATCAGCTCTCGTTGCTGATAAAGCTCAAATATTTCTCATCTCATGGTATCTTGAAGGTACCTAGAAGTACCTAGAAGACTTCCGAAAGAGCGCCTTCAATATCTTGCCTGAGAGCTTGAAATTGGCTGCGTGCATCCTAACCAAGTAGTTAATGT